TTCTCAGGTTTCTGACCTGTATCCACTAAAAGGGGCACATGATCAGAGAACACCTTTTCCAAGTTCCTTACTACAGCCATAGGATATTTATGTTCCCGGTCAATAGAAACTAAAATTCTATCTAATTTTTCATGGGTCACATTCTTTTGGCTATTACTCCAAGTAAACTTCCTACCATTCATTTCCAGTTCTCTCAAGTTGCTTTGATCAATTATGACATTAAAAATAAAGCTCCACCTATTATATCCACCTTTCTTATTCTTTTCACTCTCTTTCCTAATTATGTTAAAGTCCCCTCCTAACAAGATAGGGCCCTTGTTCTTCTGACAAACATGTGCTAAACTTGCTAAGAATGCCCTTTTCTGATCCAACTGAGCAGCACCATAAACTACAACAAGATTCCAAGTAAAATTATCTTCCTTATTTCTTAACAACACTCTCACAAAAAAATTCTCATACTCCTCTTCCATAATTTCAAAGATTGTTTCATTTATACCTACCAAGATCCCTCCAGACCTTCCATTGGAAGGAGACCACATCCATTTAGTGATATAAGAGGAATTAATTTTGTTCAAAAAGGAAGCAGTAAAATCTTTCTTACATGTTTCCTGCAAGCCCAGGAAATCAATTTTTTCTTTCTGTAAAACCTCTTTTAGATGTTGCAGTTTCTCATCATCCCACATCTCCTTAATGTTCCAGATTAAACCTTTCATTTATTTTCTTGTTTTCCTCCTTCCCAAGTCTCTATTAATCTTGGGGGTTCCCTTGCAAATTTTAAGATTTCCTTTTCTCCCCTTTTTCTTCCCTGATCTTGGAGTCTTAAGATGATTCATCAAAATTTCTGCTAAATCAAAGTCCAAATCATTCTCCTCATCAGTCTCTTCTACATCTAGAGTTACTTCAGGGTCAAGTTGCCCTGTTTTTTGCAAGAGCTCTCCATTATTTTCCTTTTCCCTCATCGTTTTCTTATACAAATTTATTCTGGCTACCTCTAGGTCTCTAAGAACCTGTGTGTTAGCATCTATAGCATCAATAGAACAACCCAAATCAACTCCTATCACTTGTGCCATTTGAACTAGCGAAATATTGGACTCAGAAATAAAAGAAGGAATGTGAATGTTACCTTTGTTGATAAATGCATTTTTTGCTTCCTTCCTTTCCATCGCCATTTCCAATATCTTCTTATCTTCTTTATCTCTGAGCCTCTTGTTCTTCTTTCCTTCTTCAAATTCAGCTTCCTCTTCACTCTTATGATCTTCTTTACCTTTGATGTTATCTCCCCCTAACTCCTGAGATTCCATTTCTTCACTGCCTATTAGCTGAACTCTTTCCCCCTCAGCCTCTAATTGCTCCTACTGTGATAATGTAAACTCCTCAAGTGTGTTGACATCAGCTATCACTGCTCTTGCCATAACAGGTTTTTTTGGCATGTCTTCTTCCATTTTGTCTTCGTCATTCCTCTCTTTATCCTTCACCATGACCTCATTCATCTCTCTTCCATCATTTTTAATCTTTCCTCCCATCCCAGATGGCTGACCCACTTCTGTACTCACTTTCAATTGCTCCTCCATTTGTAAAGCTTCAGCCAACTCCCTATCCTTCTCTATCTGACTCAAATTTCTAACCATTTCCCCTTTGCTCATGCTCTGACCTAGCTGCCCCTGTAAACCTCCCCCCTTATTCTTTCCTCCACTGAAAGCACAACAGTCATCACAATATTTCTCTATATCTTGCCTCACAACTTTCCCTTTTCTTGAACTCCCCACTCCCAAGACCTCTAACCCTTCAGAGTGACCATCATCCTCCCCTTGTTTTAGCTTCTCTTTTCCCTGGAACCAGCCCACTTCCACAATTTCTTCCAGGTGATAATGTGCCGCATACATTAAACCTTTAGTATCTGTAAGGATAAAAGTCAATGGTAAAGCCCCAGGATCCATAACTCCAACTTTAATTCTTACACAGTCTTCTAGCTTCAGCAGTTCCATATCTATCTCAAACACAGGACCAAGATTTGAGCCTACTTCACACAGAGCATGATAATCTTTCATTACATCAGGGACCCCTTCCACATTAACCCACACAGTATGCAGCTTACCCACAGCCTCAGCTTCATGGGACCATCTCTTTACACTAATCTGAACACCTGTGCCTTTCAGTCCAAACGAAACAAAATTCGACAGCTCCTCCAATTTCTCTTCATTTGGGAATCTCATCTAAAAAGCACCATTAGACAAAGGTTTTGCTCTCCATTCCCAAACCCACTTAAACTGTTGTGCAAAACCTTTCTTCCAACTGCTTTCCAGCCAACTTTCCTTCATCCAAAACTGTTATGATTGCTTTGGGATTCACATGTTCTTTTCCCATAGTACTTTTAGCATTCTGTTTGAGGACACATCCCAACCCACCAGCTGCATATCCCACCATCTTTGCCACTGGCTTTGGTTGTTGTGCCACAAAGCATTCATCAGTATTATGAGAAACCTTAGAGCAAATCACACAGTATTTTCTCACTACACAATCTTTAGCTATATGACCCATAGATCTACATTTCCCACACCATTTCCTGATTTGGGCACCCTTATCAACCCCATCTTTCACCACACCTTTTGTATCCCCTTCTGTCTTTGACTCCTCACTTTTCTTTTCCTTGTTTAACATAGCCTCCACATTAGAGCTCTCCCTCTTCTGCTGCACAATTAACCCAGCTTCACCTTTAACCTCAACCTGCTCTATCTTAGACCCTAAATTCTTCTCTTTCTCCTCTACTACAGACACAACTTCACCTATCTTCTGTTGATTCAACTTATCCTGAGTAGGTGGGTTTGTAGATGTAGGAGATTGAGATGAATTATGTTCCAGACCTTGCCATACCTGATTTTCCCTAAGAGCTCCACCCAAAGGCCTTGATTGTTGAGGACGAAAACCCCTATGCTGAAATCCCTGTGGTCTCGGGTGAAATCCTTGAGGCCTCGGTTGGAACTATGGCCTTGCTTGGAATCCCTGCGACCTCGCTTGGAATCCTTGTGGCCTTGGCTAAAACCCCTGAGGACGATACAGCCATGGTTGTGGATCTCTCCGTCTCCAAGCATCCCCCTTATCCGCCATTGTTGATGATTCAGCACTCACCACCTGTGCAAAACTCCTCGAATCTCCGTGAATCGTCTTCCCCCACTCTCGATTTCGGCCCCCGATTCCTTCACGCGGCCATTGAACTCTCTCCCCTTCCACTTCCTTTACCTCTCTCCACCCTCCTCCAAACCCTAACTTTATCCCCTTCTCCTCACACCTCAAATGCGATACCAAAGTTGGTGCACATAACCTCAAGCCAGCTTCCAGTCGGATCTTTGGACCCATGCTGACGCCGACCCAGATCGATGCTCTACTATCATTATGTATGCACCATGTTGTACTTGAACGTAATTCAGGATACGGATTTTCATCCCTGCTTATATATCATTTAAATAGTTATTAAAAAAATAAAAATTGATAACATATCTCTCTATCTCCACTATTATAAAAATTGAAGATGTTTTTCTGGTACTTTGGTATGTCATCCGTGTATGTGTCGGTTTTTAAGTTCGTTTGCTTTTGCAAATACAAAAGGAATCGTATAAGAAATCTTTTTAAAAAACTCGTATACTAACTTGAGACGATCAGACTCCTAATTACAACTCATGATTTTCTAACAAAATATATATGCAAGCGAATTTAACACAGTGAATTAAATAGTTTTAATAAGATTAAAACTATTTTAATCTTATTATTGTTAGTTTGTTATTTCATCTTAACTAAACCATATAACAAACTAACAATAATAAGATTAAAATAGTTTTCACCCGTTGCAACGCACGGGCATTTTTTCTAGTTAATATAAAATATATCACTCTATAAACATGCAAGACAAAATTTAACTTCTACAAGTTATAAAAAATAAATTAAATTAAAAATAGTTATCATGCATTTATAATTATTTTTGTTACAACTTGTAAAAGTTGAATTTTAACTTACATATTATGGGGTTATATATAAAATAAATTAACCTATCTTGTCAAAAAATTATATTTTTTATGATTATTTATATGGCATGAATGAAATGAGAGGATATCCCATCAAGGGATGAAAACACTATTACCGTAATTCATACTGGTATGTATAAACTAAACTAACCATGCAGTGAGATTCTACTTGTTATTGGTAATGCATCCAGAAAAAATAGCAGGGGTCTAAACGAATTAGATAAAGTTAGAGCCCCTCCTGCCATCTACATATGGTAAAAATATTTAGTTGGGGTCGTGGGAGGTTTCCATGATTGTCATGTCAATAGTGAAGGTTTGAGCCACCATCATCCCCATGGTAAATCCACCCGTGCTTGCTATATATGTTTGCTTATCATGCGTACTGCTGGGGAGATACATCTTACTTATCCATGTGCAACGTTTAAACTATATATATCTTCATATCTAACATGATGATATAAGTATATAATTTGTGATCAAGTTGATGAGGAACAAAGTACTGCGGAACTACGACCTTTGTGTCAACATCTGCCCCCACATGCTTGTCGATCATAGACCTAAAGATAAAATTATTATGGTACGTACGTGTCCCATCACGATATTATGGCATGCATTGTACTGTAAAAACAACTGCCGTACCAACTATTTGCATGTATTTTCAAAAAAAAAAAGATATGTGTCATCTAAGTGTAAAAACAATCTCTAGAGTGATACTCTCTCCGTCCTAAAATATAAGTATTTTTAACATAGTGAAAAGTCAAACATTTGTAACTTTAACTATTAATAAAAAAATAAAAAAGATCAATCATGTAAAATTGATGTTATTAGATTTATCATTAAACAAACTATCATAATATATAACTCTTTTTATTTAAAACATCTTATTTTTATAAATATTATTAGTTAAAATAGTATCCCGGAGGCCATGTCCGAGTCTCAAAATGTTTATATTTTAGGATGGAGGAAGGGAGTACAAGATGCATGTAGCGAATGATCATTGCAATGAGGGGCGAGGTGATTAATTGGGACGATTGTCTGATCATCACAATTACACAAGCATACTATTAATATATAGCTCGATCATATAATGTGTGTACTTGTGTGTGTATATATATAGTTGTATTCACAAGAGAACAGTATAAATACTATGTAAAATACTCGTTTCCTCGCTCACTTCTTCCTCACTAGGAAAATGCTCAGCTCCGGGGCGCACTCGCGGTCGCGGCCGGCGGCGCCGCCGTTGTCGCTGCCGTCGTCGGGGTTGATCATGTAGAACGCCTCGGAGTCCTTGGACCCGACGACGCGCTCGACGCGGGCGCGCATGTAGGTGAGCTCGCCGTCGGGGCCCGCGCCCCCCCTGCGGTCGGCGGGCGGCGGCGGGAGCACCCCGGCGCCCATGGACACGCCGCGCAGCAGGCGCAGGACGTGGCGGTCGTCGTCCGACGCGTCCTTCCGCCGGATGGCGTACCCGGCCTTGCGGCCGTTGCAGAACACGGCCCAGACGTACTCCTCCAGCAGCCGCCGCCGCGCGCTGCGGGTGTCGCTCTCCAGCGCCAGCTTCACGGTGCCCGTGGCCATCTCCCTGTGCATCGCGCTCGCCAGCATGGGCAGCTCGATGAGGAACGCCGGCGGCGCGCGCGTGTCCTCGTGGATGGCTAGGCTCAGCCGCCCGCGCCGGTGCCCGAACAGCGTCACCGTCGGCGCGTGGTCGGCGAGGAGGGGCGCCGCCCTGCCGCCGCTGTGCCGCCCCAGCAGCGCGGCCATCTTGCATCCCGTGGTGAGCATCGGCAGCAGCTTGAACATCTTGAAGATGCCGCCCACGCCGCCGGCGCCGCCGCCGCCCCCACCGCCGGACAGCTTCGTCGTCCGGCGGCCATCGGAGGACGGCCGGAGGAGTGACCGCAGTGAGGCCGCGCCATCGATGAGCGATGGCATTGGCGACACCGATCGATGGTGAGGTGGAGTTTGGTGTGCCGTCTGAATTGACGCGCGGCTAGCAGCTGGCTGGCTGCAGAGCTTTGCTCCGATGGAGCCCCATGGGGAAGAAAGCTGAGGAGATCACGTCGCTATTTAAGGAGGATGCGTGGAAGAAGATGTTGGGAGGTCATATGCATTTGCTAATAATGTTGTCTATGTTGGATTAAACCATCAAATGCTTTATTAGGCGTCAGTTGCACGATTATCTTTTTTAAGATGTACACACACAATCATTAGAAGATCGATATCGCTATATGAGCTAAAAATTGGCAAAAGAAAACTGGATTAAGGTGAGCTAAAATAACAGGTTAAAACTAAGGGCCTATTGGGCAAATCATATCCAGATTTTTCATCATGTGAAGCTGGAGCCGAATAAAACGCTACTAGATATATATCTCTTTTTTTTTAGGGCGGAGCAAGTGAATCTGCTTCAAAGAAATGCATAGAAATAGTGATGCTGTCTTTTTCCTAGCTCACAAGTCCCTAGCTCTTGATTAGCTCTCACTGCACTGTTGGTAAGACTTTATGTGTCTGGCATAATGTTTAGAACTTCAGCTGTGCAGTTCAGAAATGTCACTGCAGAGGGCAACAGTGACCTGAATTAGGGGCATTCCCCTGCCGTTCGATGATAATCAATGTCTTAGATCATACGACACAGTAACTAACTACTACATTGATCAACAGTATTTTGGGAGTACAATGATCAGCAGTATTTTTAGGAGTACTCCTACAGTGGATCTATACTGTTCCTGGCATTTTTCACTGTTCTCCTCGCATGAGCAGTAACTGTCGTCTACATTACTGCAGACAATCAGGATCCAGACAAGCTCAGGCCCAGCCATTGAGTTTAGAAATGCATGATCAATGCTTACTAGTCATATTATATTATCATATATCAATCCATGCAGGCTTCTTTGATTGATTAAACTTTATGAACGCACTAGATAAGTCAGGTCAGGACTCAGGACGTGCAGAAACTTAATTTGTGGCTTTTGCCTTTTTGCAGAGATTAATTGATCGATATGGATCTGCGAGTTTTTGCACAAAGAGTCATGGGAGGCCTTAACTCGGCGACATGTACACACACCACGGAAGTAATTGTTGGGGAGCAGCTGACTCACTTGCCATCCGTGCTGCATTGCACACAGCACATGCGGTGTTTGGTCGCGCGCGCATGCAAGGAAGCCACTGCATGGCAACTGTCCTCTGATTGTGTTGCTTTGCTATAAACTATTTTGAAAATGTTTATAATACTTCAAAATCTGTAAAAGATTTAGGTGAACTTCGACATGGGATTTTTTTTTGGTACTTTTGAAAATGAAAGCATGGATATATGTGCGAAAATCCTAACTCATAGGCACGCTATGAATGCATCGTGATAAGCTATGGGTTAGGTCTACGGTCAAGGTTTAGGGTTGGGTTACAGAGAAGGCTGCTCTGGAAAGAGATAAGCAAGGATTCTTGTGCTTAGAGGGATGGTGGGGAGGCGGCAGATAAGCGCAGGAGCCACGGGGTCGGCACCAGATGGTGGGTTAGTGTTAGTGGTGGGAGCAAAGTGAACCGAACAGTTAGGAGGCAGGGGTGTCTCTAGTGGCGGAGAGCCATCAAAGATGAGAAAGATAGCAGGACGGGGGCACATAATGCTGCGGCGGCTTAGGGAGATGGATTGATGGTGGAGGTGTGGTCGGGTGAGAAGGCTAGGAGTTGGTGCTAGCTTGGATTTGGAATTCGTCAGAGAGAGAGAGAGCGCGTGAGGGAGTTCGCTAGAGAAAGGTGGAGGGAGAGCTTGCTAGTGGGAGACCACTTGCCTACACTCGACCTACCCGATGAGAAAGAGGAACCGTCTATGCACTTGATTGTTCTGGTCGACAAGGGAAGATAAGAGGAGGAAAGGGAAGAAGAGAAAGTGGGCTAGGCTAGCAACGATGCATGTAGGTTTGTCATCTTGCAGAATTTTTTAGTTTTAATTTTTTTTATTAAGCGAAAGGGGTTGTAGCCTAGTAGTAAAGTACTCAAGTAGTACTTGTATGTCCTAGGTTCGACTTCCTAAGAAAACGAATTTAAGATTTGAATATTTCAAATAGAGGCAGCTCCATTCGTCCTAAGAGGGAGATAGAGGGACGAGCCTACCATTTTTCGAGTGGTGCTCTAGGTGGAACGATTTAAATACAGATAGCCCCATTCGTCCTGAGAGGGAGACAGAGGGACGAGCCTACCTTTTTTGAGTGGCGCTCTAGGTGGAGCAAAAATCGTTCTATAGGAGAATAGTAAGGGTGGCGCTTGCAAAAGTGACAGGCCTAAACGGATGGTCGTTAACGTGAGCTATCAACAATCTATCACGTCACACTATGAACAATCTGCCACGTCACACAAAACACCCTCTGGGAGGACGGGGCGTGAGGGGTTATGAGTATATTTGTATTTTTTTTTCCAAACCGAAATTTTTTTAAAAAAAATTATAATATTTTTTATGGGAAAACATTTTAGGCTCTGTTTGTTCCCCATGGTTCCCAACTCCCCACCTTGTTTCCCACGCGCACGCTTTTCAAACTACTAAACGATATGTTTTTGCAAAAAGTTTCTATACGAAAGTTGCTTAAAAATCATATTAATCTATTTTTTTAAAAAAATAGCTAATATTTAATTAATCACGCGTTAATGCGAACATCGTTTTACGTGCCGGGGAGGAGGGATCCCAACCCCTCCCGAACAGAGCCTTAATATTCATCTTGTATTCGCTGGTTGATGGGCCGAACAAACTTGTGCGTAACCTGACCGTATCCAATTTTGGCCGGCCCATCGTGTCCGCTATCTTCTAACAGGCCGGCCTCTCCCCGCCGCCTCCGCCGCCTCCGCTCCTCCTTGGCATGCCCACGTGCCTGCCTCCTCCGCCGCGCGCCGCCATCGCCGCCGTCCTCACCTCGCTACTACCACCGCCACCGGGCGCCTCCGCGTCCCTCGCTCCCGCCGGCCCCGCCGCCGCCGTCGCCCGGCAGATCCGCCGGAACGACGGGCACCACCCGGGGGCAGCGGTAGGGATGTCGTCCGCGTCCGTGGCGGAGAGGGAGAGGGAGAGCGAGGCTGGGGAGTTCACCGAGGTCGTGGTGGTGCGGCACGGGGAGACCGCCTGGAACGCCTCGCGCATCATCCAGGTTCCGTGCTCTGTTCCTCCCGCCCCGAGCCCCATCTATTTCTCTGAAGCTTTGGTCTTCAACTTTGGGGAAAAGCTTTGGTTGGGAAAATTGGGAAGAATAAATGATAGTTTGGTGGTACACTTGTTTCTAGTTCTTTGATCATTCAGTGCTCAGACTTTACAATGCTCCGGTGTACCTTAGACAATGCTCCGGAGTAATACAGACTAGTTGGCTTTACTATCTAATCTAAGCCAAAATAGTTTGACAAAGAACGTGTCTTGATAAGGACGATATATCGTATACAAGGGCTCACAAGTCGGACAAAATGGATGTTTTCTCAAGTGATGCCATGCAGAATTTGATGAAAGTATGTTGGTATTTAGAAAGTTCTTTTAATTTGCTGAACGGATTTTGATTGATTGATTGCACCCGTTACATAAGAGGTCTTGTTTTTCTTTTGTTTTCAGCATGAAACCCTTAATGTGGTACTCCCCTAATTAAATTGTTCCAGTGACTGTTTATTCACTCCCCTAATCTTAATGGATTGATATGATTTTCTCGTATAATAAAGTTTATAAAGTTGAAGTGAAAAATGTTAAATGTTAAAGTAATGCAATTCCCTTATTCCTTTTATAGAAATTTACAGTTTGCAATATGTGCTTCATCACATGGTCTGAACTCGTAGTTGTTTACTAAAGTACTAGGAAAATTCCCTCGTACATCTGCTGTTGTAAGGAACAGTTTCTATAACAGAAGTTATGCAATGCAAAAACTTAAGAGATGATAGGCAGTAAGGTTTTATGGCTGTCGATAAACTTATGCTATGACTCGCCATAGTGGATTGTCAGATAGCTATGGTTACACATTACCTGACTATATCTGATGTGTAATATGGAAACAAAGTATGGTAAAGGCATTTCATGATATGATTACCAACATTACCTTGTCTTTGCGCATTAACTAACCATGTCTTATTCATAAGTTTATTTTATCACACTTATAGTTTCTTACTGCCTTTCAACTGATATAGAACCAAAATCCTGTATTAGGGGCACCTGGATGTAGAACTGAATGAGATTGGAAGACAACAAGCTGTTGCGGTATGGTATGACATATTTCAGATTGCCGTAAGACATTTGGAGTGGTGTGTCTTATGTGGAACTTGTTGACTTTAATGCAAGGTTGCACGGCGTCTTTCTAATGAAGCCAAGCCAGCTGCGATATATTCATCTGATCTGAAGCGAGCGGCAGAGACTGCAGAAATAATAGCAAAAGCTTGCAGTTTGCCAAATGTTTGTCCATTCAACTCATGCACTTTTCTATTTTTTAAATATCTCAGGCTGACTATCTACGCTGCTTCAGTTACGCATAATGTATTGTTTGTAGAAGACTAGAAGATCAATTGGTCATTGATTACTAATGTAGAAACTGTCTGCATCATAGGTTGTGTTTGATCCAGCACTGAGAGAGAGACACATCGGAGATCTGCAGGGCTTAAAGTATGAAGATGCTGGCAAAGAAAAGCCAGAGGCTTACAGAGCATTTTTGTCGCACAAGAGGAACCGACAAATTCCTGTAAGCACTCCATTGTCTTACTTTTTATAACACATCAGTATTGATTCAGCAAACAGATTATGCTTCTGATACCATACATAGGGTTTAGGGTTCACCGGGGAAGGAGCAGTGGGGGATCTATGGGGGCTAGACGACTGGAGGGAAACTAGGGTTGGGTAGCTAATGGGAGGGGATCGTGGATGAAGGGCGACAGTGGCGATGGCGGGGGTTGCTGGTGGTGAGGGTGGGTGTCGGGGCTTAGTGAGCTAGCCATCCACAACTGAACATCCCTAGCTTGGTGGAACATATCGGAAAGACCATGACGACCATGTATGGGAAGACCATACATAGGTGGTATGTTTGTCAATTGCTGGATGTTTGCAAGCAGATTCTCAATGATACCACGCCCATTTGATGCCATTGAGTCAACCGTTGCATAGGTTTTGAAAAAAGGTCATACAACCCTGAACCCTTGCGCAAGTCGAAATATCAACCTTGAACCACAAAGCTGGACACATTACAACCTAAAAACTCTTGAAACATTCCCCTAGACCTAAACTACTATTGTTTTGCTTACCTGTCATCTACATGTTGCTAGCTTTGCCACCTCATTTGACGTGCCATCAACTGTATCACATTAGCTAGTTAAGACTATGCTAACTGGGTTGCGATGCCAAAATGAAAACTTGTGATGTTACTGCTAATGTGGAGGAAACCACCAGTAAATCAGGCTAAGGGTTTAATGAAAATGGTTTTATGAGTTTCAGGATTTAAATGTTCGGTTTTATAGTTTAGGGCTGCAGTTTTGCAAGAGATCAAGTTTAGGCGTGTCAAACATGGATGATCTTCAACTACAAATATGTGCTTAAGTTTAATTTTTCACCTTATTGAAATGACAAAAGCTCTCTATCAAATCAAATCTCCTGTAGTACACTTACCTGTAACATTTGGCATAGAGGCTTCTCAAGTTAGCTTTATAACTGCCATATTTACAATGCTGAACTGCAGATTTCACTTCTTTTGCTGCTACCATATGCCTTCTTGCAGTAGCTTCTCTTACAAGAATTTTGGGCTTGTTTTTCAGGGTGGTGGAGAAAGTCTTGATCAACTATCAGAGCGATGTGTCTCTTGCTTGTACAACATAGTCGAGAAACATCAAGGTAAACTGTGAGCTTCATCCTTGGAGTTTTATCTTATAATTGGATTGTCTGAGAGTTTTTACATTACGCTATGATGAAATGAAATGCTTTAATCAGTCTATCAAAAGGAATACCACTTAAGTAGTTGGCTTATTGGCATCCTTAATTGACTCGTGCTGTTTCGTGCTTCGTGTTGATATTAGGTGGAGATACTACATCAGTGTTTACACAACATAATTAATTTCCATAACATAACTCTGTAATTGCAACTGCATTTTATTGAAACCTGCATGTGAGCTTCTGATCATTTCTGAGCTTGTGTAACTCTATCAACAGGGGAGCGAATAATCTTGGTCTCGCACGGTGGAACCATCAGAGAACTCTACAGGCATGCCAGTCCAATGAAGCCTCTTCACGGTAAGATACACAACACATCCGTAAGCGTAATCCTTGTGTCTGGTGCCACTGGGCGTTGCATTGTCAAGGCGTGCGGGGACATCAGCCACCTTAAGGAAACCGGTGTTCTGGAAAACGCCTTTGGTGGCGATAAGAACTCTGCATAAACCCAGCTTCAGTAGCGTCGTACATGTAACACTATTCACATGTCCAAAGAGTACCACTCTATTGTCGGCATCTCTTTGCTGTGATGAAACAGCTCTATTAGCAATAACCAGATCTCTCTGAATTTTGACATCATACGACCCTTTTGAATTTTGATGGCCTCGATTACAGAGGCCAGTGTATCTTCCTTGCAACTTGCAACTTAGCAGAGTAGTGTTTTCGCATTGGAATGGAATGAGATGCACTTGATAGTGCAGTGGTAAGGGGTGCGTGGTTTTAACCCTGAGATCTCATGTTCAATCACTAACATGCTCACAATTTTTTCTTCAACAATGTTTGAAGGGACGTCTCTCTCCAATTCTCGTTTTCTTTTTCATTGGAATAGAAACTGAGTAGACGTCCACATTTGCTGGGACACCGTCACACCGAAATCATTTCAATCAGATGAAACAGCCGGTGGATCGGCCTATCTCTTCTCACATGAAAGGCCACTTGATCCCCTCCCTGTACTGGCTAACCACTTGACACAACTGCGGCCCCGGGCTGTCTGGGCCAGTGCCATTTGCCATGCTTTCCCACAAAAGAGCGTCTCGAATTCTCGATTGCTATGCGCTACCTAATTAATTCTCAAGGGGCCATCCCATCACTGTTCATGCAATCAAGTGCAGGTAACCATGCATAAAACGAGACACACTATACATTTATAGAAAACCGTACAGAAAACCACATAAAACGAGACATAATACTACTATACATTTATAGAAAACCGTACAGAAAAATCACATGAATTTTTGCAGGTCGCCGTCGTCGGCAACTTCCCCGTGCACCGGCTGCTGGATGCTGCCGATGGACGGCGGACGGATGATGCATCAACCACACACTAAAAATTAGGCGCGCGAAGCGCCAAGCGGCGCGCGCACGCAGCGCGAAAAAAAGAAGACATGCGACGCGGAACGGGGACACGATGCCCGGTCCGCAGCCGCGCACACGCACACCACACCACACGATGACACGATCAATGAATTTTCTTTTTTTCTTCTTTCCTTCCTTGGCAACAGTAGAGATTCCGCCGCCGGAGCTACAGTGCATGCCTCTCCACCTCCCCGATCGGCCGGCCGACTACATGAGCGACGGCGACCGGATGTCCATCTCCTGCGTCCACGCGCTCCTGTCCTGCGCGTGGACGTGCCAGTAGCTCTGCGCCACCGCGTCCGGGTCCGCCCCCGCCGACGACGCCGTCTCGCCGCCGCACCTCCCCCTCCCTGACCTGCGTGCAACAAAAACACACACGAAAACATCACGTACGCTTCCATCATCACTCGATCGCGCCCCGCGATTAACCCACCCACACTGTAAAAAAAAGCTAGCCGCGATGGTCGTGGTCTCGGTGCGCGCTCGCCGAGCGCCGGAGCGCGAGCGCGAAAAAGCGTATCGCACGCGGCGTGCGCGCGATCGAGCGAGCGATTCGCTCGCCGATGCGTGCGGTGTCGGCAGCCGGCGCCGCGGCAGGTCACAAGGACGGCATGAGAGCTTTTTTTTTCCGGGCGAAAACGTTGGACCGCGCGTAACGTGTCGAGCCGAGGGGAGAAGCAGCATAAGGTGGCAGTTGGTGGTTGGGCCAGGTGCCCAACTATCCAACCCGATTTATGATCCAAAAGTAGTAATTTAAAAAGTTTCCGAGATCGAACAGGTCGGATCGGACTATGACTCTAGAAAGAGAATATATTTTGTTGCTTTTTTTTTTTTTTGGAGATGCCATGAATGGAAGGGAGGCGTTGGATCGGACAGTAGACAAGAGCATTTACAACTCAGCATAGCGATGGGTTTGAAATGGTGTCGCCGTGTCCTGCTCTCGTAGGGCATGGAAATCTTTTGTGCAGTGAAGCGAGATCATGGTACGGAATAAACACGAGAACTGAAAAAGAAATGTTGTCTGATGCATGCATGTTGCTGCAAAGAAAAGAAAAAGCCTGAAAAAGAATCATAAAGAATAGCTTATCACTAAATTATGGAAGTGCTAGCTCAGTCTCTCGGACATATATACTTCTAGAGTGTTTATAGCGATGAGTTTACACGTATATATGTTGGTGCTTGTGTTTGTACTATTTTTCTTGGAAAAATAATTGTTGTAGCTCGCTGTGGACAAAGGGAGAGGGAGGTTGTTTTCATGGCGTTGATCCATAATACCAATGTTTTTAGCTGCTATTTTTGTGACGATACTGGATCTAGATCAGTTTCACCATACTTCGCTATGGCTTCTCCAGATGAAGTTGAGGCTTGGGTTCATGGAGAGAAGGGGATCCTGTCCGTTACAAAATAGAGCGGAGTACACAGTTGCAACTACAGATGGGAAAGAGAGAGGGAAGAGGCATTGGGTAGTTGACAAATCCCAAATTAAGGTTTCAATATAGAGAGGTAGGAGGCTGGTCGATCCCTCATTAAGGTGGCTTTCTGCTAGGCTCGTGTTGTTAGTGCTGGCATCGAGAAAGATGTATATTGTTGTGTCGGTATGGAATGGAGGAAGATCAAAGAAATTGGTGGGGGGAGAGAGATGGGAGTGTGGGAAGCTGAAATGATGGACGAGTGGCTGACAGGTAGGGTAGGAGCATATTTATAAACTGTTTTATGTTGATAGTGTTTGTATGGGATAGTTCACTTTAGAAAGTAAATATAAAAGATTATAGGCTGTAGTGAAAAGGAACAAGGCATAAAAGTGCAAAATTACGGTTACATCCATTTAAGTTCCAATGCATTGTCCAAGTATAGTATCACTAATACTTGCTTAAGCTGCTGCACCTCCCAAGAGCATACCATGAGACCACTTCCTATTGTAAATGTCTTTGAGCATGAATAAAAGTTGTTATTCTTGTAAGTGATAGAGTTTTCGAAAAGAACAAAGGCAATATACTAAAGGTCTAAAGTTCATCTGGAATGTGGGGAAACTTTTAAGTTCTTATTGAATTTTTCCCCCTGAAATTCTACACGGGCTAGTTTTAAAAGCGAACCAAGCTGTACCATTATAATCTAATCTCATTATGGTCTAATATGCAAATATTTTTATATTTAGACCCTCCATGATCAATTGATGCAAATCTTTTTCTTTTTTTTTCAATTAATGTGGAAAAATCTAGACAACCAAACGTGAAGAGAGAATATGTTGACTTTTTTTTATGCCTCTGAAAAGTAGATAGATAGATATAACTATTTAAGAAAAAAATCCAACACAATACAATGCAACAAATCATATATATGATATGTTGTACAAGTGGTCTCGTTGGTTGATCAGGAGGATATATAGCTATCATATACCATCGCTTTGCATATTCCCGATGAGGGCATATATATCGGTACGCATACTTACGGTTTTAACAAAATATCGGTATGCTTACGTACTTGTTCAAGTCAATTTTCTAAAATATATATTAACAAATTATTTCGATACTATCTATTATAAAATATACGCATTGACCGAACGACTGAACTATCTTCTTTCTAGGGTTCAAGGAATGATGCCGAAAGAAGCAGCTCGCACATGTTTTTCAGTGGCCGGTATTACGGAAGTCGTATATATCCGTGCCATCATTGCGGAATGTATTCCTGCATATTTATGAGAGGGACGCAAAATTTTATTTTTTTTCTCCTCTGTTCCCCTTTCCTGAAAATGCCCTATGAGCTGATCTGATCTACACGTTCGCGACGACGCCACAGGACCACCGACCTTCGCGAGGTAGCGAACGATAGGATTGAGAGATCTCCCGAAACTTTGGTATATCTTCTTCTTGTCATAGCTCACTAGGGACAATATTCCACTCGCACTTGCCCAAACTAATTACCCGCAATTTGACTACCCGTAATGAATCAAAGCTATAATAAGCTTATGCATTTATGCTTTATAATTATATTAGTATCTAGCAAGCAAAGACGTCCGTAATCTTGATTTCTTGAAGTATTGGTTAGTGAAATTGAGATCATGAGTTGGTTTGGTTCACTGACCTGGGTTCGCCGATGACGCCGTCGATGATCATGTGAGCAATGTGGACGCCGGCCGGCTGGAACTCCTTGGCCAGCGACTGGGACAGCCCTCTCAGCGCGAACTTGCCGCAGCCTGCATGCATTTTACTCGCGCGCAAACATGACTCGGATCCAGGAATTTAATCCGGTTGCTTAATTACGTGTGATCGATCGAGCCAGTGAATGGATCAGCTTACTTAGATCGGAGTAGCCGGCGTAGCCGGTGACCGACGCCGACGAGCCGGTGAAGATGACGGTGCCCCTGCCCCGCTCGACCATCCCCGGTATAACCTGTTTGATCGATCAGTGGCCGGCATGGCCATGGGTGATTACTGATTAATCGAAGATATGATCGAGAGGAGAGATGTGGATTGATGGATTGTACTTGGTGGGCGCAGTAGAAGGCGCCGGCGGCGGAGACGGCGAGGGCGCGGTGGAAGGCGTCGGGGGAGATGGCGAGGAAGGGAGTCGGGCGCGGGGAGGCGTCGCCGTCGCCGTCGGCGGGTGGCTCGCAGGCGTTGTAGACGAGCACCTCGACGGGGCCGAGCGAGAGCACCCCTTCGAAGGCCTCGCGCACGGACCGCGCGTCGGCGCAGTCCACCCGCAGCGCGAACACCTGCGCCTTCGCCTCCTGCGCGATCTCCTCCGCCAGCTGCGACAGCTTCTCTGCACCAACGTACACAACCACATCCACCATCACCGGCCATCATGCAAGAACGGAGGAGGAAGAAGAAGAAGAGGGAGATCGAGCTTGCCGAGGTCGCGGGAGAGGATGGCGACGGTGTAGCCCTCGGAGGCGAACTTGCGAGCCACGGCGGAGCCGAGCCTGGGGCCGACGCCGACCACGGCGGCGATGCCCCTCGACGAGTTGGACCCGGACACTGACCTCAGCATATGGGGAAGACAGAGAGTGACCGATCGATCGATCGATCGAGCAAAGCAACGCAACGCAAACGCAAAGCAAGCTCGAAGAGACAGCAGCGAGCGAGCACTCTGTCCGGTCGTCTGGCGGCGGCGCGCCGTTGGTTTTAATACGAAAAACCGGGGAAACGCGAGCAGGATATGGCGCGCCGCGCGCGACGTCTCCGATCCAGACGAATGGTGGTGTTGGGACAGAATCTGGCCATATGCCCTGCCTCTTGTGTCTTCCACGTACAGCGACACTTGGACAGTGTGCGGAGTATTACAGCTCAAGATGACAGCAGGACGGGCTGGAGTGATGGTCCTGCCTGCCGGATCGATCGATCATCTCATCTCTCTGTACAACATTTACAACTAGAGTTCTATAAATTATATATTGATTTTTAGGAACAGATTAATTGGGTGGGTGAACGTAGAATTTTTTTTTCTTTTTAGACTTTTTTATTTTTTAATTTTATCAATAGACCTTTCCGAAAAGTATTTCTAAAGCAGAACCCAAATAACTATGTCGTGCCACGCGCAGCTAGGACTGAAAACGGGGCGGGTATTTCCCGACCGCCCGCCCGGCCACATTATTTCGGGTCAAATTCGGGTCGGGAATTCGGGTACCCGGACCCTTACACGGATACAGGGTTCAAATACGGGTAATTTTTTGCGGATATGAGATCGGGTTCGGGAGAGCGGTATCCGACGGATACGGATTATCCGGGAAATTATGCGGGTATTACCCGATAATCTATCCGTATATTACCCGGATAGATGGACAGCAGCCCAACAGGCAAGCACCCAACAGGCCAACACAACAGGCAACAGCCAGCCCACATCCAAAAGGCCCACCAAACAAAGTGCCAAGCACAAACCCTAGCCTTCACTTCACAGTTCAGATCAGGGCAGAACGCAGGCAGGCAAACAGCCAGGCAGCACCGCGCCGCACGCCGCATGCGTGCATCCAGGCTCCAGCACCGCCGTCGTGCCTTCGCAGTTCGCCGACCACCAAGTGGCTACGCGGCCATGCCCACCGACCACCGGCCGCTGTCGCACGTCGCCGCGTGGGTGTGCGACAAGCCGACGACCGTCAGACTGCCGCCGCGCCGACCACCACCGCAAGGCCCCGCCTGGCCCCTTGCCTCTTTTGGCTCCTCAACGCCGAGAGCCGAAGGACGTCGCGCCACCTCGTCATCTTCTTGGGTAGTCAAGTCAACACTCAGCGACTCATCCAGCCATCCAGGTTAGCCAAAGTTTCAGTTTTTCATTGCCCTTTCTCAACATCACGTTAGAACTTGGAAGGATTTTTTTTTCTTATTTTACTTTTGCTGTTTGGCTGTAGGATTAGGATAGAATGGCTAGTGGTGATGCAAACACTAGTATGTGTGCAAGCACAGGTGCATCTCCGGCTGGTACCGTAGCTGTTGGTACTGGTCACTCGGCATTGGCACCAAATGCATTGGTACTAAATGATGCAACCACAGCCACTGGAGGTGGAGGTGGAAGTTCAGAACCTGTTGTTATTCCCGATGAAGAAGATGGAGAATTCACAGGAGAAGTTGAACCGGTAGCAAAGAGGCAGAAGAAGTGTACCTCGAAGGTTTGGGACTATTTCATTAAGTACACTGACAAGGCCAAGAACAAAGTTACTGGTGTGGAAGAGCAACAACGTAAAGCAAAATGCAAAAAATGTGGTAGAGTGTTTGGAGCAGAGACAGTAAATGGCACAAAACACTTATGAAATCATTTGAATCGTATTCACTCATTGAAACAAGGCCAGCAAGAACTTCAGGTGAAGGGTGAAGTTCAGACTTTCAGGTATGATCCTGAAGTAAGCTTGGAAAAGTGGTATATAGCTGTTATTATGCATGAATATCCATTTTCTATGGTTGATCATGTGTATTTCAATGAGTTCATCCACTCTCTTCGGCCTAGTTTTGAATTCAAGTGTCGCATTACCACTAGTAAAGCTATATTAGAGATATTTGAAGTTAGAAAGAGAATTTTGTATGATGAGCTGAAATCTGTTTCTAGTCGAATTTCTACAACCATGGATATGTGGACATCAAATCAGAACAAAGCTTATATGTGCATCACTGCTCATTGGATTGATGAAAATTGGCTGATGCAAAAGAGAATTCTTAAGTTCATTCATATAGATGGGAAACATACAGGAACAAGGCTAGCAAATGCATTTGTCAAGGGAGTAATGTCTATGAATATTGAGAAAAAATTATTTGCTCTCACACTAGACAATGCTTCATCAAATGATAAATGTGCTAGAGAAGTTGTGATAGAGCTTAACAAGCTGTTTAACATCAGTAAGGTCCCTCCATTGATGTGTGATGGTGCTTTCTTTCATGTGAGATGTTTATGTCACATATTAAATCTTGTGGCTCAAGATGGATTGAAAATCATTGCACATACAATTCAGAATATTAGGACTACTATTGGTATTGTGAAGAATTCTACGTTGCAATGGGAGGAATTTCAAAAGTGTGCTGTAGAATGTGACTGAACAACAATTCTGGGCTACCCCTTGATGTGCCTACAAGGTGGAACTCTACATATGACATGTTGAAACAAGCTATTTACTACAGGGGTGCTTTTGAAAGGCTTTTATTCTTAGATGAGGATAGATATCAAAGGTGTGCACCAAGTGCTGAAGAATGGGGTATGGCAGAATCACTATGCAATTGTTTGGAGAAATTCAATGATGCCACATTGTTATTTTCCGGTTGTCTATATCCAACTGCAAACTTGTTTTGGTGGAAGTTTTGTGAGATTAAGTTAGCACTTCGAGAATGGTGTGCAAGTGTTGATGTCTCCATTGCTTCTATGGCTGTGGCCATGCAACTCAAATATGACAAATATTGGGACAAGTCCAACCTAGCTCTTGCTGTGGCTTGCTTTCTTGATCCTAGATACAAGCAAAAGCTAGTGATTTTTTTTACAGAAGATTTACCCTGACAAGTATGAAGAGGAATTTAAGCGTGTCTTGGCTGCTATCGATAAATTTTTCCGGGCTTACAAGAGTTGTGTTGCAAGGTCTTCGAAACCTACCGCTGCAGGATCAAGTGAAAATTCTCAGCCACATGGTAATACTTCTTTGGGTCACAATGAAATCGAGAAATTCTTGTATGATGATGCAGCTGCAAATAAAGAAGACGATATAAATGAATTGGATGTCTACATGAAAGAGAAGCCAATTCGTTGGGTTGATCCAACAGGTGAAGGTGTAGAATTTGACATACTGGCATGGTGGAAGAGCAACCAAATGACCTTTCCTATCCTCTCAACACTCGCGCGTGATGTAATGGCTGTTCAAATATCTACCGTTGCTTCAGAGTCAGCGTTTAGTGCTGGTGGTCTTGTTGTTGGTCCTTTTCGCAGTTCTAGTTTGTACCAAGGATTGGATAAGAGCATCTAGAAAAGGTAACTGCTTGTTTATCTTCATTTCGCTATTTATATAATCTGCCATTTCTAGACTGTGTTTATATTTTGTCAATTTTATTTACAGGACCATTTAAGGACAAGATAGCAATAATTCTTGATGAGCTGGATGTACAGATAGAGGATAAAGATGGTGCTAAAACTGACAATGATGAGGAGGTTAATTACATATTTATGTGTTGCATTTAAAAATATATTTTGGACCTGCAATCTTTAAATGAACAATCTGTTGGTTCCACTTTGGATTTTGAGAGAGTTAAGGAGCACCACATTGTATTAACTGAATGTTATGTTCTTTTTAGGGTCAGGCAACGAATAGTGTTTGAAGCTGAGCATGTTGCTGATTGGAGAGCTGGAGTTTTTGGTGATTGAATCTGAACATGCTGGCCTTTGGGATGACTGTATTGGTAATATGTGATCAGTAGTCATATAAGTGTATCTTTTGGCTTGATTGTATACCTTATGTGAACTATTTTGGTACTACTTAGTAGTTAGTACTATTACTTATGGAGTTATGGTGATGCTCTTAGTATTTACTAGTATGGTACTACTTATTATGGTGAACTATAGTGTACAGCATTGAGTCTGAAGCTATCAAGCTATGAATGTCTACTTTTGCTACTACTTTGGTACAGTTTTGCTGATAGGCATTACGATGCCATAAGCCCCTAATATATTCATAATAGACATATAGGAAATGGCTGAATGGCTATTGTCTATGTGGTATATTTGGTTGTTGCTTTGACTTGATATCTGAATAAATATTCGTAACCGATAGAGTTCGTATCCGTCTTGGTACGTATTCGTTCCGTATTTATGCCCGATATTATCCGTGCTTCTATTCGTATCCGATAATATCCGTGCCCGACCCGATTCCGATTATAAAATGTGGGTTAGGATATGGGAAGGATGAGATCCGACCGAACCCGACCCGATTTCACCCCTACGCGCAGCTGGCATGGCAGTGTTGTTCTGCAACGCCAACGTGTCTGGCGTGGCAAAACAACGTTGCTCAGTTTTCAGAAATATTTTTTGGAAAAGTCTATTAATAAAATTAAAAATAAAAAGTTAAAAAATAAAAATATTTCGTGAACGTACCACCACTACAACAGAAATGCTAATCCTGCAGGTTTCAGAACCGGCAAACCGCATTAGATAGTGATGGGGCCATAACTAACAATTTCCAACATGGCTGCGATATTTGTTAGCTTAACCGGTATGGATCCGAATTTACCATGCCAAAAAAACACACAATCCAGATCAGCCTAGCATGTGTAAGGACGGTCCGGATTGTACGAACAATAAATAAAATAACTACACAGACGGTCCGGATGTGCGGAACGGATGATCCGGTCATCTATCAAACCAGACAGTCTGTACAACCTTGGACAATCTTCATGTGGCAAAGGACGAATGGTCCTGCCGGACTAAAGGATGGTCTGGACTTTGCAACAAAAACGGACGGTCCATCCACAATCCGTTGTCACGAAAACGGATTGTACCGGCAGCACACGAGGACGGTCTGTGCATGAGGGAACGAACGACTGGTCCGGATCATTGATGCGATGATGGACTGGTCGAATGGGAGGTTCAAGTTGGACTGTCCTATCTGGCTCTTATAAAGAAACCCACAATGCAAGATTATTAAGCAATTTTTGATTAAAAAAATTCATACAAAATTAGCGTCACTAACATTTGAAGCACCGAACGAAAAGGGAAATATCGATAAATTATACTCTCTCTCCGTTCCTAAATATTTGACGCTGTTGATTTTTTTATACATGTTTGA